GTTTTACATCATATTCCAGCTCTGTCCAGAACCCTCTATTCTGATCCCTGTCAGAGCAGTCAGTGGTGGTAGCCGGGCATCATCTAGCTGTACTGGACTCAGTTCGGTGGAGGCCTTGGTAGCTGTGGTCCATTAGTCCTTTGGACTAATCTTTTCCTTGTATCCTGTTCTCTTCATTCTCCCTTGCTCCCTAAGGGGTGAGATCAGTGGAGTATCTTAGATGGCTGCTCACAGGCTTTTAAGACCCCAGATGCTACTCACCAAGGTAGAATGTAGAACATTGTCTCTATATACTGTGTTATGTCAATTGAGTTAGATATTCCCCGAGACCATGGTCCCCATAGCCCTCAGTTCTTGGGATTTTTAATTTTATCTTTTAGGTGATAACTAACCACCGAAGTTGGGTTTTAAGCCAGAGAATGGTGTGTTTTCATTTGTGTTCTAAAAAGATAATTCTGGTGGTGGTAGCAAGAAGAATGCACTAGAGAGAGCAAACCTGGAGACTGTTGAAATGGTCCAGATGAGACATGATGCTTTTCTTTCTTTCTTTTTTTGCCATTTCAACCACTGAATGCCATTCAATTCAGTGGCATTACTTACCACAATGTCATGCAACCATCACTGCTATATCCAGAACTTTTTCATCACCCCAAACAGAAACTCTGTACACATTATCTCCCCATCCATGGTAACTTCGGGCTTTTTTTTTCTCTTTTATATGAATTTGAGTTCTGTTCCACACTTTTCTCCCATTCTATCCAGGACCATCTATTACGACCCTGGTCAGAATGGTCAGTGATGGCAGCTGGGTACTATCTGGTTCTACTGGTCTGAGGGTAGACAAGATTGTGGCAAGTGGGGACTTGTTTCTTCTCTGAGCTTTTGGTTACCTTCTTACTGTTCTGCTCCTGGTAAGTAGAGATTTGTAGCTGTGTCTTAGATGGCCGCTCACAAGTTTTGAAGACCCCAGATGCTACTCACTTCACTAGGATGCAGATCATGATTTTTGTGAACTATGTTATGTCAATTGGAGCCCGGGTGGCAATGGTTAACAGCTTGGCTGCTAACCAAAAGGCTGGCAGTTCGAACCCACTATCTGCTCCTTGGAAACCCTATGGGGCAGTTCTACTCTTTCCTACAGAGTTGCTATGAGTCGAAATTGATTTGACAGCAACTGGTTTGGTTTTTCTGGTTATACCAATTGACTGCGTTGTCCCATGAGACTATGGTCCTAAGCTTTCAAACCCAGAAAACCAATCTTGAAGGTGTCTGGTTATGTCTGAGGAGTATTCGTATTTGTGTCTTCAATGAATGTATGTGCCTGCACCCATATATTTGTATTTACGCATACCCATAGATACTTCTATCTGTTCTCACCTGTGTACACACCTGTACCTACCTGTATAATAATATGCCTATACCCATCCATATGTGCTCAAACACTTGTTTTTACTTTTGTTGTGTTGTGCTCACTACATCCGTATTCAGTACCACTTTCTGATACCAAAAATAACAAGTCTCTGCGGTCTAAAGTCTACTTTCCCCTCCCCTGCTCCTCTCCTTGGTAACTACCAATGAACACCGGTCTCTGTATTTATCTATTATTGTCTTTTTGCAAAAGAGGGATCATACAATATTGGTCCTTATATGCTTGATGTATTTCACTTAGCATTATGCCTTCCAGGTCCATCCATGTTATAATATGTTTCACAGACTGATTGTTGTTTTTTTATGGTTGTATAGTATTCCTTTGTATGTATGTACCACAATTTGCTTATCCATTCATCTGTTGATGGCACTTTGGTTGTTTCCATTTATTTGCTATTGTGAATAAAGCAGCAATGAACGTAAGTGTGCATATGTCTGTTTGTGTCATTATTTTTAGATCTTTAGGGTATATACCTAGGAGTGGGAGTGCTGGACCATAGGGTAGTTCTATTTCTAGTTTTTTGAGAAAGTGCCATACCATTTTCCATAGTGGCTGTACCATTTCACAGCCCCACCAACAATGAATAAGGGTTCCAATCGCTCCACATTTGTTGTTAGATATGATGAATTCCTAAACTAAGATACACTCTCAGTAGGAATGGAGAGGACTGGATGGATCTGAGATGCATTTAGGAAGTATAATTAGATGGATTTTTTGACTAGGGATATGGGAAAATGAGAAGCCTGGATGAGATACAAGTTTCTGTCTGGGAAATTTGGTGGATGATGGTGTCATTAACTGAGATAAGGAGTATAAAAGCTAGAACAAATTTTGGGGGAAAGAGAGAAAAGTTAAATCCTGGCTGTGCCACTAAACAGCTTTGACAGCTTGGGAAAATTACTTGATGTCCCTAACTCAGGAAATTAAATAAGAGAATATATGTGAAACCCTTTGGTACGACACTTTTCATTGGTAGGAACCGAGTAAGTGTTAGTCTCCTTTCTTTTTAATTACATCTCAACAATGTTAATTTGCCACTAACTAGTACTAATTGGCCAAATATCAATACTCATTAAAGGGTTCTGGAAGAACTCCAGAATCAGTGGTATTTTTACAGATTATAAATTCTTGCTTCAGAATATTAAAAAAAAAAATTCAGGTTCAAATAAATCACTACATTTTACTGCAGTGTAAAAAAGGTGGATAATTTATATGTAGGAAGACCATGCTAAAAAAAAATCAACCAATATTTTCTAAGTATTTAGTATGTGCTGGTTTCTTACTGAAGTAGATAGGTGAAAAACAATTTAGGCCTCCAGAATATAGCTCCAATAAAGATTATTCGCTTAGAAAGACAACTAACAAGAAATACCTGTAGAGTATAAGTACAAAACCAGAGATACTACAGTAATTAGTTCAGAGGTGCATCCAGCATTGTAAGCTGGATTGGTCATGGGAGCTTCATGGAGGAAGTGACATTTAGTTGGAGTTTAGATGGGTTAGATTTGAAAATGAGAGCAAAAGTATCTGTAATACTATATAGTGCAGTTAGGAATTGGGCATGAACATACGTAAGCACCAAGGAGTCCTGGTGGTGCAATGGTTAAAGAGCTTGGCTGCTAATCAAAAGGTCAGCGGTTTGAACCTAACAGCACTCTGTGGGAGAAAAGACCTGATGATCTGTTCCCATAAAGATTACAGCCTAGGAAGCCCTATGGGGCAATTCTACTACTTCATATAGGTTCGCTATAGGTCATTGGAATCGACTTGATGGCACAGAACAACAACAACAATAACATACATAAGCAAAGCATGAGAAAAACATGGAGGCAGAACAGAGTATTTCAAACATGATGGACAATATATTAAATGAGTTTGGCTGGAACGGACGATACATAGTGTAGTGGGAGGAAGAAAGGCAGGTGGAACTACAAAGGTTGTTAAAGTAATTCCTGATTTTTAGAAGGGAAAATTATGCCTTATATGTAACTGTCACTTAGGCATTTTCAAAATGTTACATTTTTTTGATGCCACTTTAAACAGATTATAATGGTAGTAGTTGCAGTAGTAATAATAATGCCACCTAATATGTATTTAGTGTGTACTATATTACAGGCACTGTTCTAAGTGTTCTACATGGATGACTGTCTCATGTAATATTTACAGGCACGTTATAAGGTAGGTACTATTATTATTATTAAGATGATTATGAGTGCCCAATGAAGGGTGGGTTGCATTTATTTTTTTCTTCTAAAACTTCAGAACCCTATGGAGCACAGTTCTACTCTGACACACATAGGGTCACCATAAGTTGGGATCAACTCCATGGCAACTGGTATCCATGTGCAGTGCAATTAATTACTTTTGTGTGGGCTTTTCTAGCTATGGTCTTGTGACTCCCACCCAGGTGGTTGGTTGGGACTGTGCAAATAAGATAATCGTGGCCCACCGAGGGGATTAGTCAGTTTTGCCCTAAAACAGAGCCAATTCCAGAGAGAGAGGACAGCCCACCACCACCAAAAGAGAGACCCACAGCAGAGACCCACAGGAGACAGCGCAGTGGGCTTCCCGGCCCACAAAGTCAAAAAGCTGAATGCCTTTGGGCAGAGACTGAGGACCAGGGAAAAATCTATGCCTGATCCACAAATTTGGGACTTGCCAGCCTCCACAACTGTGTGAGTCATTTCCTTTATATGGCTCATGAGTTCTGTGAGACGTTGCTGTGAATTAGAGAATACAAAGACAGGAGGAAGAGTACTGAGGTCAAAGAAAGTAGTTGATGTTAGAGATGATGAAGTGGTTCAGCAGCTTGGAAAAATTAGACATTTGGGACATCTTTAACCTCTGCCTCATAGCAAGGAGCTTTTTGCTGGTCTTTATAAAAGAAATTATTCATTTACCACGTGTATGTCTTTCTTCCTAATCAGACAGTACAAAATCCTAAATGCACTGATTGTTTCTCATTTATATGTGTACCTTTACCAGAGCCCAGTGCTAAGGCAAAAAATTTTTTTTTCAAAATAGTAATGTCTAGTTTTGACTGGAAGAGATATGATCAAAGACAGGGATCATTACCAAAATAACCTTCTTAGGAAATTTCCCATTAGGCTAAATGTTTAAAATTATTTGAATATTGGTACACTGATACCTCCCATGACTACTCCCATGATTGACGAAATACTCTGGATGTAAAAATCTTTACATCATGATCTTTCTTTTAGAGAGGATATTTGCTTCATTCTAATGAAATACCTTATATATAAAAGGTTACTGGGGGGAAAAACTCTTTAAAAACCAGTTTCGATAATATTAATATCAACACAGGATCCTTACACAAAAAATCAGGAGGTCTCCTAAAACAAGGAAGAAAAAAAGCCTTAAATACTTACCAGAAGTGGTATTATTTGTAAAATATTTTTGATGGATGGATTTTTGCAAACGGTTTCTTGCACATCTGAAATAATTGTACCATAATATAAAATATTTAGTTATGTATATTGAAAGAGAAATAATGACTAAATCAAATATTAAATTCTACTATGCCAAAATACTCTAAATTGATTGAGACTTTTTTTTTCTATTGACCCCAGAAATAGTCTTTATATTAGGTTAGAAACTAGGAGTAATTTGATTAAAAATAAATATACAAATCTTATGTTGACAGAAAGGAATTCCTAGTACTTTGAATTTTATATAACAATCCTCACTCATATGTTAGGTTTTCTTTTCTCTCTTTCTCCTTCCTTCCTTTCCCTTCCTCTTCCTTCTTTTCTTTAATATTCCTTCCTTCCTCTTTTCTTCTTCTTTTTCTTTAAATAGAAAAGGAACTTCCTCCTTAGTCTCTCCAGAAAGAAGAGGAATTGTTGATTTAATTATTGGGGCACAAAAAGTTGAGTAATTCAGTCAACCTTACCCTTTCAATTTTTAGGCTTTTGTCCACAGGATAGCAAGCATCTGGGCAAAAGAATAAAAATGTAGGCACAACCTTTTTCATGAAACATTTATGTAGATGCATCTAACAGAAGACAAAACAAAAACTCCAAATGGCTGACTTGAGTTTTTAATTCTTCATCCACATAATTTTAACCTTAAATTTACAGCCTTAGTTCAGTGTTGTTTTTGTGGTTGTAGTTTGCCTTTTATTAATATATTAAATTTTAATGTTGCAATTAACATACACATAAGTTTATATAAAACATATGTGAATATTTAAAATAACAATAAAGCTAACATCTGTGTAATGACCTGGATGAAGAAATCTGAAAATTATCAGTACATTGGAAGCTTCCTGGAGCTCCTGGCTTCCAAACTGCCTTACTGATTGCACCCCCTTCCCTTACCCACAGAGGTACCTCACTATACTGACTTTTGCTTCTTTGTAATTTTAACACATACATACATATTCCCAAAATAATATTGGTTAGTTTTGCCTGTTTTTGAATTTCACATTCATGAAATTATACTGTCTTTATTCTCCTGTGACTTGCCCTTTTTTGCTGAAAATTATATATTTTAGATTTCTCCATGATGATGTGTGTAGCTACAGTTAGTTCATTTTCCTTTTTGAATAGTATTCCATTATATGAATATACCAAATTTAGATGTTTTTGATTTTTGGTTTTTATAAACAATGATGACTGTATCTGCTTTTACACATCTCCTGATGCACATGTGTAAGATTTTCTCTGGGGTGTGCATCTAGATGTGAAATTGCTGGGTTGTTGTAGCTTATGCTCATGTTCAATTTATTGTTGTTGTTGTTGTTAGGTGCCGTTGAGTCGGTTTCAACTCATAGCGACTCTATGTACAACAGAATGAAACACTGTCTTGCCCTGTGCTGTCCTCACAATCATTATGCTTGATCCCATTGTTGCAGCCACTGTGTCAATCCATCTCATTGAGGGTCTTCCTCTTTTTTGCTGACCCTCCACTTTACCAAGCATGATGTCCTTCTCCAGGGACTGGTCCCTCCTGATAACATATCCAAAATATGTGAGATGAAGTCTCGTCATCCTCCCTTCTAAGGAGCATTCTAGCTGTACTTCTTCCAATATAGATTTGTTTTTTTCTTTTGGCAGGCCATGGTATATTCAATATTCTTCACCAACACCACAACTCAAAGGTGTCAATTCTTCTTCTGTCTTCCTTATTCATCGTATAGCTTCTGCATGCATATGAGGTGATTGAAAACACCATGGCTTGGGTCAGGGGCACCTTAGTCTTCAAGGTGACATCTTTGCTTTTCAACACTTTCAAGAGGTCTTTTGCAGCAGATTTGCCCAATGCAGTGGGTCGTTTGATTTCTTGATTGCTGCTTCCATGGGTGTTGATTGTGGATCCAAGTAAAATGAAATCCTTGGCATCTTCAATCTTTTCTCTGTTTATCATGATGTTACTTATTGGTCCAGGTGTGGGGATTGTTTTTTTATGTTGAAATGTAATCCATACTGAAGGCTGTGGTCTTTGATCTTCATCAGTAGTGCTTCAAGTCCTCTTCACTTTCAGCAAGCAAAGTTGTGTCATCTGCATATCGCAGGTTATTAATGAGTCTTCTTCCAATCCTGATGCCTTGGTTCTTCTTCATATAGTCCAGCTTTCTCAGATTATTTGCTCAGTATACAAATGGAAAAAGTATAGTGAAAGGATACAACCCTGACGCACACCTTTCCTGACTTTAAACCACACAGTATCCCCTTGTTCTGTTCAAACGACTGTCTCTTGCTCTATGTACAGGTTCCTCATAAGCACAATCAAGTGTTCTGGAATCCCCATTCTTTGCAATGTTATCCATAATTTGTCACGATACACACAGTTGAATGCCTTTGCCTAGTGAATAAAACACAGGTAAACATCTTTCTGGTATTCTCTGCTTTCAGCCAGGATCCATCTGACATCAGCAATGATATCCCTGGTTCTTTGTCCTCTTCTGAATCTGGCTTGAATTTCTGGCACTTCCCTGTCGATATACTGCTGCAGCTGCTTTTTGAATGATCTTCAGCAAAATTTTACTTTAGTGTGATATTAATGATATTGTTTGATAATTTCTGCATTTGGTTGGACCACCTTTCTTGCGAATAGGCATAAATGTGGATCTCTTCCAGTGGGTTGGCCAGGTAGCTGTCTTCTAAATTTCTTGACATAGACGAGTGAGTACTTCCAGTGCTGCCTCCATTTGCTGAAACATCTCAACTGGTATTCCGTCAGTTCCTGGAGCCTTGTTTTTTGCCAATGCCTTCACCGCAGCTTGGACTTCTTCCTTCAGTACCATCGGTTCCTAATCATATGTTATCTCCTGAAATGGCTGAACATCGACCAACTCTTTTTGGTATGGTGACTCTGTGTATTCCTTCCATCTTCTTTTTATGCTTCCTGCATCATTTAATATTTTCCCGGTAGAATCCTCCAATATTGCAACCTGAGGTTTGAAGTTTTTCTTCAGTTCTTTCAGCTTGAGACATGCCAAGTGTGTTCTTCCCTTTTGGTTTTCTACTTTCACGTCTTTGCACGTCATTACAATACTTTACTTTGTCTTTTCAAGCTGCCCTTTGAAATCTTCTATTCAGCTCTTTTACTTAATCACTTCTTCCTTTCGCTTTAGCTGCTTGATGTTCAAGAGCAAGTTTCAGAGTCTCTTCTGACATCCATTTTGTTCTTTTCTTTCTTTCCTGTCTTTTTAATGACCTCTTGCTTTCTTCATGTATAATGTCCGTGATGTCATTCCACAACTCGTCTCGTCTTCAGTCATTAGTGTTCAATCGGTCAAATCTATTCTTGAGATGGTCTCTAAATTCAGGTGGGATATGCTCAAGGTCGTACTTTAGCTTTTGTGGACTTGTTCTAATTTTCTACAGTTTCAGCTTGAACTTGCATATTAGCAACTGATGGTCTATTCCGCAGTTGTCCCTGGCCTTGTTCTGACTGATGATATCGAGCTTTTCTATTGTCTCTTTCCACAGATGTAGTTAATTTGATTCCTGTGTATTTCATCTGGTAAGGTCCATGTGTATAGTTGCCATTAATGTTGGTGAAAAAAGGTATTTGCAATGAAGAAGTCGTTGGCCTTGCAAAATTCTATCTTGCAATCTCTGGCATAGTTTCTATTACCAAGGCCATATTTTCCAACTACCAATCCTTCTTCTCTGTCTCCAACTTTTACATTCCAATCACCAGTAATTATCAATGCATCCTGATTGCATGTTTGATCAATTTCAGACTGCAGAAGTTGGTAAAAATCTTCAACTTCTTCATCTTTGGCCTTAGTGGTTGGTGTGAAAATTTGAATAATAGTTTTATTAAAGTGGTCTTCCTTGTAGGTGTATGGATATTATCCTATCACTGACAGCATTGTACTTCAGGACAGATCTTGAAATGTTCTTTTTGACAACAAATGCAATGCCATTCTTCTTCAATTTGTCATTCCTGGCATAGTAGACCATATGATTGTCTGATTCAAAATGGCTAACACCAGTCCATTTCAACTCACTAATGCCTAGGATATCGATGTTTATGCATTCCATTTCATTTTTTATGATTCAAATTGAAATTAAATTATTCTATTTGTTAGGTGCTATCAAAACATTTCTCAAACTGATTACAGGAGCTTACACTCCTACCAGTATTATATCAGAGTTCCTATTGCTACACATCTTTACCAACACTTCACACTGCCAGACTTTTAAATTTATATCAATCTATGGAATATGTACTGCATCTCATTGTTTTAATTTGCATTTCCCTATTATCAATGAAGTTAAGCATCTATCAATGTTTATTGGCCATCTGCATTTCCTTTGTTGTGAAGTACCTGATCAAGTCTTTAACTTTCCAATTTTTCTACTGGGTTGTCTTTTTTCTTGTTAATCTATAGGAGTTCTTTACAGTTTGAACAAGTCCTTTATTATATGTGTTATATTTTCTCTCACATTGTGGATTGTCTTTTCACTCTTTTAATGGTGTTTGATATGAAAGGAAGTTTGCAATTTTAATGTAGTCAAATATATTAATTTTCCCTCTACAGATTATGTTCCTTATACTCTACTTATGAACTCCTTCCTTATACTGATGTTGGAAGATATTTTTTCCTACATTATCTCCTAAAAGCTTTATACATTTTCTTTCATATTTAATCTGTAATGCCCCTAGAACGGATTTTTATGTATGGTATTTAGTAGGAGGCCAATTTTCTTTCTTTTATTTGGGTACTCGTCTATTCCAATATGGAGTTACAAGCAGCTTATCTGAAAATGATCCCAGAAGTTCTTTATAGGTTGTCTGACAATGTGCTAGCTGGGATCCAAGAACAGGATTTAACTCCAAGTAAGAGGAGCTGTGTCTAAACCCAACCTCCTATGGGATCCACAGCTTCTTCCTCCTAGCAAAAAAGGCTAGAAATTCCCACACTGGGATTTAAATTTCAGTATGTGCTTGTTAGATTACTTGATATTGTCCCACAGATTTATGTATTTATTATTTATTTTTTTCCCACTCTTTTTCTTCTCTTTGTGTTTAGGTTTGGATAATTTCTACTGATCTATCTTCAAATTCACTGATTCTTTCCTCAGTTGTAACAAGTCTACAGATAAGCCCACAGAAATATTCTTCATTCCTGTTACAGTGTTTTTAATTGGCAAATTTTCTTCGGACTCTTTCTTATAGTTTCCATCTCTGCTAAAATTCCCCATCTGTTCATGCATGTTGTCTACTTTTCCCATTATAACCTTTGACATAGTCGAACATAGTCATAATTATTTTAAATTACCTGTTTGATAGTTCCAGTATTTCAGTTATTTCTGTGTCTCATTCTGTTGACTGTTTTGTGCCATGACAGTGAGTGTTTTTTTTCCTTGTGTTTTTGTGTGTCTTGTAATATTTGAGTGGATGCTGGACATCATCTTAAAGTAGTAGAGACTGAGGTAAAATAGCTTTTTGTGTCTAGAAATGGACATGCCTCTTCTTCTGCTAGGGCAGTCATAACCAGGGGTGAATTTTGCCACCCAGGGGACATTTGGCAATGTTTGGAGACATTTTTTAATTGTCCCAGCTGCAGGATGCTATGGCATCTATGGGGTAGAGGCCAAGAATGCTACTAAACATCTTAAAAGGCACAGGACAGCCTCCCTACCACAAAGAATTATCTGGTTCAAAATATCAACAGTACTGAAGTTGAGAAACCCTGATAAATATTTTTATTATTGTTCAAGTCAAAATACTTTGTAATTTACATTATTATATATTTTTAAGACGCACGGTTTATTTAGAAGTATGTTTCTTAATGGTTATCTTTTTTTTTTTTTTTTTGTTATTCATTTCTAGCTAAATTTCATTGTGGTCACAGAGGATGTAGCTTGCAAAACTCCAATCCTCTGAAATGTGTTAGGCCTTTTTTATGGTCCCATATATGGTCCATTTTCATAAATGTTCTATGTGTGCTTGAAAAAAATATATCCCTTTGATGAAGTTTGTTAATCATGTTTGATTCTTATATATCTGTATTGATTTTCTTGGTCTATTTGTTCTATCAATTATTGATAATGGTATGCTAAAATCTCCTACAATGATTAAAAAATATTTTACATATTTTGAAGCTGTGTTCTTAAGTTCACATGACATTAAAATGTACTACATCTTTCTCCTGAGTTAAAATTTTGATCACCATGTAGTGATTCTTTTTATGTCTAGTAATGCATTCTGCTTTAAAGTCAATTTTGTCTGATAATAACATATCTAAACTGGCTTTCCTTTGGTTAGAATTTGCTTGGCACATTATTTTCCGTTTTTTTACTTTCAGCTTTTCTATATCCTCATGTTTTAAATACATTGCTTCTAAATAGCATTAGCTGGATTAAAATTTTTTCATCTGACAACCTCTTTTTTATTGTTGTACTTTAAGCAAAAGTTTTACAATTCAAGTTAGTCTCTCACTCAAGAATTTATACATACATTGTTATGTGACCCTAATTGCTCTCCCTATACTGTGACAGCACACTCCTCCTTTCCACCTCTGATTTCCTGTGTCCATTCAACCAGCTTCTAACCCTCTCTGCCTTCTCATCTCACCTCTGGACATTTAGTCTCATGTATTTACTTGAGCTAAGAAGCACACTCTTCATGAGTATCATTTTATATCCCCCAGTCCAGTCCAATCTTTGTCTGAAGAGTTGGCCTCAGGAATTGTTTTAGTTCTGGTTGACAGAGAGTCTGGGGGCCATGCTTTCTGGGATTTCTCCAGTCTCCTTCAGACCATTAAGTCTGGTCTTTTTACTAGAATTTGAGTTCTGCATCCCACCCTTCCCCCGCTCCATCAGGGACTCTATGTTGTGTTCCCTGTCAGGGCAGTCATTGGTGGTAGCCAGGCACCAACCTCTGTCTTTTAACTGTATCATGTAATTCATTTACATTTATTATAAACATACCATTTATTTGTACACACCATCTTATAGTATAGTATTTCTATTTGTTCTCTCTCTTCCATGCTTATTTTTCTCTCTCTGTCTTATTTTAGATAGATTTGGTAGTTTTGCATGCCATTTTTCCTTTCTACCAGTTTGGAAGTTCTATACTTTATTTATATTCATTTAGTTGTGACCATAGTAATGACTACAGGCATACTTCAATTATCAACATCTAAAGTTAATCTGTATCTTTACCCAATTCCATAACAATGCAAGAATCCTAGTACACTTTAGCTCCATTTATATCCTGCCTCCTTATATACTATTGTTGATAGGTATTTTAAGTCTAACTTTTTTCCTCTTTAAAACTCACACTACTTCCTTACTTTTATTTTTTATACAATGTTTGTTCATATTTACCCTCTCAAAATGTCCATCTGAGATTAATTTCAGTTTGCTGAAGTGCATTCTTTAGAATTTCCTTCAGTAAGAGTTGGCTGTTCACAAAGTCTCTTAGTTTTAGTTTGAACATATCTTTAATTTACTCTTATTCATGAGACATATTTTCACTTTGAAAAGGTTTTAAATGTGACAGTTACTTTTTCTCAAGTAAATATACTTGAACATTTACATGTTTAATGTGTTATGCCTTTTTTTTGCTAATAAGAATTCACTGTGATGTATCTTGGTGTGGATTTCTTTTTATTTACCCTGTTTTAACTGTGTTGAATCTGTGGGTTGGTACTGTTTGTCAGACTGGAAAAAATTTCAGTCATTATCACTTTAGATATTGTCTCTTCCCTATTTCAGAACTTCTTTTTCACTGTACTTTAGATGAAGGTTTACAGAACTAGCTTCTCATTAAACAGTTAGTACACATTGTTTTATGACATTGGTTAACAACCCCATGACATGTCAACAGTGGTCCATCAGCCATTTTAGACCTTTTAACTCACTCTTCCACGGTGTTTAAACTCTATCTCATATTTTCCATCTCTTTGTCTCTCTGTACTTTATTCTAGACAAGTTTCTCTGATCAATATTCTAGTTTACTAATTTTCTCTTTAGATGTCTCTAATCTGCTATATAAACCATCTGCTGAATTTTAAATTACCATGATTATGTTTTCCATTTTTAGGAGTTCTGTTCAGTTCTTTTTTCAAATATACTTGGTCATTCTTTATAATTCCTTATTCCCTAGCATATTTTAAAACTTATTTCCGATTACTTTAAACATATAAATATAGTTATTTTAGATTGTGTGACTGGTAATTTTATTATCTAAAATGCTTGTGGGTCTCTTTATACTGTCTTATGGTTTCTTTTCATTTTTTCAAGGTGCCTTTTTTCTTTATGAGTTTAATTATTATTTATTTTTACTGTGGGATGTTCATTTCCCTTGGATTTTATTTATTGTAATTCTTTGAGACCAGGAATATAGGTAGGTTTCCCCAGAGAAATATAAATTTACTTTTGCCAGGTATTTCGGGGTATTACTGGTTCAGGATCATTCTAAATTCTTGGCTTGAGGTTTTGAAGAACACTCAGATAGTATGAATAAACCAAATCAAACCCATTGCCACTGAGCTGATTCTGACTCATAGAAACCCTATAAGGACAGAGTAGAACTGCCCCATAGGGCTTCCAAGGCTGTAATCTTTAAGGAATCAGACTACCAAATACTTCTCCCATAAAGGGGCTGATGTGTTCGAACTGCCGATCTTTTGGTTGGCAGATAAGTACTTCACCACTGCATCACCAGAGATAGATTAGACTGTAGTTCCAAATTCTCATGGGTGATTTTTCCCCCTCATCTGCTCAGTACTGAAGTTCAAGATAGGCAAACTCTTTAATTCTTGTGTGTGTATGTGTGTGTGTGTAGCTCTCTAGGGGAGGGCAGTTTTATGGCAGAAGGATCTTCTATGAGACTACTCACCCTGGTTTTGTTCCCTGTTCCCCTTTTTCTGTGAGGTCATGAAAAACAAAGCTCAATTTCACTCTGTGGGTTAAATGTCCTCAGGATAAAAACTACATGGAATGCTGTCCTTAACTTTCTGGGGTCCTAGCTATATTCAGTTCTTAGTTTAATAATTCCTTGTATTCTTAACAGCTCATTGCTATATTTAATATTAAAAAAAACCCTTTATTCAGAGTATTTAGTTGTTTTTGATGCATAGTCAATCTAGATACCTAGTCTGTTACATTGCTGAAATGGAAGTCTATTTGTATTTTACTAAAAGACAGTTAAGCCTGCCAAAGAAATTGTCTTTAAATAAATGAGATGAGTATGGTATATTTGAAATAGTATGGTATATTCAAATATATTCTGAATCATTATTTACTTGATTTAAGTAGATGATAATCTGGATAAATTTTCTAATTTTAGATTATAAATGAAAACTGTCGAATATAAAACATCCCTTTAAAAAGGTGTTCTTCCATACTTACAATGTAATCTTTCATTGAGATGATTAAGGGACTGTAGGATCTTCTGTTCTTCAACTGATAATGTACAGATGTTGAAACTCTGAGTCTTATTTAAAGCCAGATTTGGTTTCTGTAGCTGCTTGCTATTCATGACAGTTAGAATTTCATCCTCAGGTACTGAAGCTTTCAGTAGGTTTTCAGCCATCAAAAACTCACAAGTACTATCTGAAACTGTAGAAACTTTACATTAATTATTCTTTGATCTTTTTCTTTCTGGGATCAGCCCTTATACATACTTAACTGCTTTATGCATGTATGTATTCATTTCACAAAGAGAAACCTACATTGTTATTTTTCATTTATTTATCAGGATCCTCTATATCTAGCTCTTTCTCATCCTTAATTAAAAAAAGAAAAGATATTCAAAATGATGGCACTGAGGTAATAAAACTTCTGAGTGTTACTCGAACTAAAGGAAAAATACATTATGTTTAGATTATTTTTGCATTGTATTTTTGTTATTCATTCATGGTACAAAGAGAAGATGAAGTAGATTGTCCTTATAATAACAATTAAAATGAGTTATAAATAAAAGGATAAGAAATAAGGAACTTAAGGGAAGATTAGAAAATTAGATGATCAACTGAACAGAACCTACCCTAGAAACAGACCCAAGTAGATATAAAAATTTAACGTATGATCAAAGAAGCATCAAAGAGTTGGGAGAAGGGCAAGATGACTCAATAAATTAGTTAATTGTTTATAAAAGAATCAATTTGGAGGTTCACTTTGCATTATCCATTTAAGCAAATTTCAAAGAAATTAAATAATTAAGTTTCTATTAAGGCAACCTAGAGGAAAAAGGAATAAACGTTTATTAAATTTCTGGATTGGGAAGGGTCTTTTAAGCTTAAAAGTAATGGAGAAACCACAAACGAAAGAAGAAAAACATATTTATTTAAGGCCAGTCTTCCCTTATAAATTTAAATTTATGAAGGGCAAGACTTTTATATGTTTTATTCATTGCTGCATAGCCAGTATCTAGTTCTAGGCAGAAAATTAGCTCCCAATAATAATTTATTGAATGAACAAATAAAAATTAAGACTTTTATATGTAAAAATACAACATATGTAGAATAAAATGCAAATAACAAAGTAGTAAAAATATTTGAAACTAAAGTAAGGATTAGAATTCTTGATATTTAAAGAAATCACAAAAATTAATAAGAAAACACTGAAACTCCAAGATCTAAACAGAAGAATATGAAAAATATACTAAAAATAAATATATGAAAAATAAATGTTTTTAATAAAAGAAAAATAAAACATAACTAATAAAACACCATTTCTTTGCCTATCATAAAGCAAATATTAGAAGTGATTTTACCTCAAGTTGGTATACACCACAAGAAAAATTTCGAATGACAGTATTTTTTAGGAAAGTACTTTAGCAATATGTATGAAAAACCTTAATAATGCTTAATACACAGAATTTCATTCAACAAATACTTAAAAAACAAAAACAAAAAAAAACCGAAACCCACTGCCACTGAGATGATTTCGGTTCATAGCGACCCTACAGGACAGAGTAGAACTGCCCCATAGATTTTCCAAGGCTGTAAATCTTTACAAAAGCAGACTGTACATCTTTCTCCCAAGGAGCAGCTGGTGGATTTGAACTGCCAACTTTTCCATTAGCAGCTGAGAACTTAACCACTGCGCCGCCAGGGCTCTCCTAACAAATATTTATTGGGTGCCAGTTATACGGCAGTACTGTCATTTTAATTCTCGGAACCTATTCTAAGGAAATAATTGAAAAGTCAGAAAAAGCTTTATGTAGAAAGATGTTAAATTTATTACCATTTAGAATAAAGGAAGACTGGCAACAACCTCAATGTGCAGGGGTGAGGAGAGTGCAGGTCCCCGAAGGTGGTTTAACAGTCACATAATATATAAGTACTTGAGAAAGTACATATAAGAAGAAAAAGGAAACCACCAGGAACAAAGCTCAGAGGGAAAGTTTAAACTAAAACATACCTTCTTCAATATTAGAAGTACCCCTTGTAGTTTGTTTTGGCTCACGTGAACTTATCTGGACATTCTGCTCAAAATTATACAAAAATAGAATATTTAATCAGAACATATTTAAAATTCATGATATATGCATTGCCTTTAAAAAATTATATATATATATACTTGGCTATTATTATTCACGTAACTTGTATATTTTCTTTTTCTTTTGAGCATAAATTAAGAATCACTAGAATAAGGTGTTTCTATGGTACCTGAATATTTTAATATTTTTATAAAAATTTTCAGGTTGTGGTGTTGTCTTGGATATTTGGAAGTGGGAAAGTAAGCTGAGTGGCAATCAAAAGTGCTAATTAAAGGAAAGGCCAAAATTTAACTTAAGGTTTATAATCTACTTGGTTTATAATTATAAGGGTCAATCACAACTACTAGCCATTATGGCTAATGACAAGGATAGGTAAATATCATAGATGACAGGGACTTAAAACAGAAATATAGTTGCCTCAATGCTGCATAAAAAAACAAAAACAAAAAAATCTAAACTTGTTGAGTTGATTCCGACTCATAGCAACCCTATAGGACACAGTAGAACTGCCCCATGGGGTTTCCAAGGAGTGGCTGGTGGATTTGAGCTGCTAACATTTTGGTTAGCAGCCGGGCCCTTAACCACTGCACCACCAGGGCTCCCAGTGCTGCACACAACAGGGAAAAGGGAAATCTCAGAGTGCTGGCAATAAGTGCAACCAATCAGCACTCTCTGGGGGATACTGACGTTCCTTTCCTGGACACAATCTACTTTCCTTCTTTACTCTCATTCTGCCCCACTTAAAGAAATGACTGTTTTCTCAGAGAAAATTGCCTGACTATGCCTATACTTAGCCTTTGTTCAGTCTGATTTGATGAGTAACTGATGCAGGTCTTTGCAACTGCCCTCCTTCCATAGCTCTCATAGCCTTGTGTGATCTCCATTAAAGGTCTGAGACAACTTGGACTGAAACCCTGGCACAAAGTGGCAATTACGCTTTTTGTACCTTTCATTTATCTCTATTAGATTCTCTCCACATAGAAGTGGTGGGCTAGGAAAAATCCAGCGTCATAAAATACTTTTCTAGTAGAATATGACAGGAGCCACTGCTGTAGTAACCATACTTAGGCTCTGGAATAAAAAACAACCAAAAAACCAAAACACAACATAAAACAAAACAGTAGGGATGAAAAATCTAAGATACAAAACTTGATTTGATTCAGGAGCACTGACCTATTCTAAGGTTAACAAGACTTTGGAAGATGTGTAAGTGAAGATGGGTATGTGAAAGTGGAAGTGAGGTTTCTGGAAAAGAAGGACAATAATGGACTCTAAAGACAGTAAGACAGAATGCAAAGGAGCAAGAAATAGACTAGAAATAGACCTGGAAAAATAAAGATGGATTACAAAGGGAACTAATAACAGGCATTTAAATTTTAGTTTGTTCATTTTCTTTGTTATAATAATTACACAATACTTTTTAAAAATGTGTTCACTTTATAGTTTTGAGATATTTAATGGGAACAACACAGAAATTAAAAAGGAAGGACTTATTAGGCATTATTGTATTGGTAATCAAGAATTTATGCTGGTAATTAAGTATTATGTCTGTTACTAAGTAATAAGAATATATTGGTAATATGACTATTTTTATTTGCATAAATATATAACTAAATGAATTTTGTTTTGCCGATCATGATCATTAGATCTAGTGATGAGACAACTAATCAACATTAGGTTGATTGTTCTCCATATTAATAACCTTATCCATACAAAAATCAATAGTTCCTATATATATAAATAATATAACCCTATAACCTGGAATATCAAATTCTACAGAAGGCACCCTATTCCTGTGCTATTTTAAAAAATCAAAATAAGTGATATTTAAAGTGGAAATTCCAAGTGAAATGCTATTCACTCATCCATCTAGATTTTCTAATACTCTAAATTCAATCCTTGGATCAAGTTAGACCTCTCCAAAGTAAGTATAGTACAATTAGCTTGTGGGATAGAGGTTCCAGGACTTCTTAACCAATGGCTTTGACTACATTTATAGTTATGCTGTGAATACAGTTACACCAAGAATTACCTCCACTGATTTTCTTATTAATGTTATTATGCTTCTGGCTTTTACTGGACATCTCTATTTTGCATAGGCAGGTGAAACTCCTTATTCATCTGCTGTTGTACTGTTATTAGAGACACTGTCCATTATGTATTTCAAAATCCACTATGTAAGGCCTAGATGGGAAATTTCTTTTAAAATAATGTACCTAAAACAATATCATCATTATCAATATTCCCTGAAAATGATATAATTCATTCTATTTTTCTTTATGCCATGTCTTCCAGGAAACAAATCCAAATAGGATATTCAACCACATGGGACAATATTAGTCTATGATTAGCATACTTGCTCCCTCTATCCATGGTTTGAATCTACTTTTCTTGTTCTTTTTAAAATATATATATTTAAATAACCTTATTGAATTTTGTTGTGAATGACCTCCAAGTTTTTCAGAAAGAGGTGATTATAAATAATAACAATAAAACATAACTGTGATTCCTTAAAGTTGGTTTAAAATTTTCATTAGTATCTGATCATATACGCTAGGCAGAATACAGTAAACAAGCATAGTACAATAAGCTTGTAGCATAGAGATTTCAGAACTGTTTCACAAATGGCTTTGACTGCATTTACATTTATGTTGTGGTATATAGTTACAGCAAGAGCACAGTCCTTCCCTTAAGAATATTCTCCTTTCCAAACAATTTTCTACTACTGAATAGAGACTTTTACTAATACTGTACTTACATGCATTTGCTCACTGTACTTCTGTCCTAGATATCCAGGATTTTGTCTTTTCTGCTCTAAAAGACCTCTCCGCTTATTTTCAACAATTCGTTTTCTTCTCGTAATGGTAGAATCTTAAACAAATGCCAGCACAATGTCAAAAATCACACAAGTTGAGTAGATCATATATATTCACTGTAAAGTTCTAAGTTATCTTCAAACATCACAGAAAATTCTCTAAGTTTCATTCATTCAGTCAGCAAATATTGAGCTACTCCTACATGCACTGTGCTTGGCACATTACAATGGTGTGTGAAATAAAGTCCTCACTTCTGAGGGGTTTATAGTTTAGAGCAATAACCTTCAAAGTGTGGTGCTGGAGCATGAGGCGGCTATGCAAGATAACCTACTGGTGTGCAGGAAGAAGTGCCCTGGTGGTGCAATGGTTAGGAGATCAGATGCTAACCAACAGGTTGGCAGTTCGAATCCACCAGCTGCTCCTTGGAAACCCTATGGGCAGTTTTACTCTGTCCTATAGGATTGCTATGAGTTGGAACTGACTTGACAACAACGGGTTTGGTTTTGGGTTGATGCAGGAAGAACATGTTAGAATTCTAATTTACACTTATTATACAAAAATTAGAAATTATACTTTATTCATGTAACACATGGTTGTCAGTATGCGTGGTAGATGGCCATATATTGAATGCAATGAACAAAGTTATCTTGAGAGGAGGGGTAGAGGTTCCACAGTGTGAGAGGTTGGCAGTGGAATCATTATTCATTAGTCCTCTTTAGCTTCCTGCAATGTATTAAGATTTATCTGTGCCCAGGTAAGTGGATTTATGGGTATCTTGCAGTATCTGAATGAGTCTTCCCAGAATGGGAAAGTGGCTGGAAAAGACTTTTGTAGGCCTTCAATTGCATGTTTTATTATTTAAGGTGAGTGGTGGGTACAAGGATGCTTTTTATAATATTTTTCTATGCTTTTTGTATGACTGTTTAATAAAAAATATATTCTTGTAAAATTATAGAGCAAAGATAATACTAATAATCCAAACACAGGTGAACAAGAAAATGGCATAGCTAACACATCTCTTATTTTCATTGAAAACTCTCTGCCAACCAGTGTAAAACTACCATAAGGAAGCTTGGATGAGGTAGAAAGATAGATGGTAACTATAGGAGAAGGCAGGTTCAAGAAAAGAATTTGTTGGAGTTGTATTGCTGCTGCTGCTATTGTGTTGTTTATGTTAGCAACTAGACGCAATCGTAGAGAAATACAGGTTGTAAAAAATAGTAGAAAGAGGACAATTGACAGAGTTGCCTGAGGATATGGGAGAGGATGGGTTCTAGATACAAATAGAGGAATTAGTCAGGAACAGAAGGAAGAATATTTCATTCTCTGAGTCTTAATGGAGAAGTTTGAGAATAGATATGTTTCCGTACAAAAATATTTGTATGGGGAAAAGAATAGGAAGGAAGAAAGAAAATTGATTTTAATCTGTTATTGTCTCTGCTGAGCCCAAAACTCACTGAAAACTATCATCATCTTATTATATTGAGTGGAGAAGTTGTTTATAAAGACTTGAGATTGACAAATCTTTGCATAACTTCTGGAATTCTGTTTGAAAGTCTTCCCCAACTTCGACTTTCTGGCTTTAAAAAATATTTTTAATAGATTTTATTTTTTATAGTGGTTTTATGTTTATAGAAAAATTTTGCAGAAAGTATAGTTTCTATATACCCATTCCCTCTGGCCAACTGTTTCTCTTATTATTAACATCTGGCATTCCTTGGTACATTTGTTACTATTGATGAAACAACATTGATATGCTACTATTAACTAAAGTTCATAGTTGACATTAGGGCTCACAATTATATTGTACAATCCTATGGGTTTTGACAAATGCATAATGTTATGTATCTACAATTATAGTATCATACAAAATAGTTTCATCAGTTCCCCCTCAGCCTCTGATCAACTGTCTCTATAGTTCTGCCTCTGCCAAAATGTTATATATTTGGAGTCATACAGTATGTAGCTCTTTCAGAGTGGCTTCTTTCTTTCACTTAGCAACATGCATTTAAGTTCCTTCCATGTCTCTTCGTGACTTGACAGCTCATTTCTTTTTATCACCGAACAATAATCCATTGATTATAAACCACGGTTTGTTCATCCATTCACCTATTCAAGGACATCTTGGTTGCTTCCAATTTTCGGTAATTATGAATAAAGCTGCTATAAACATTCATATGTAGGTTTCTATGTGGACATAAACTTTCATCTTATTTGAGTAAATACCTAGGAGGGCAATCGCTGGATTGTGTGGTAAGCCAACGTTTCACTTTATAAGAAACTGCCAGACTGTCTTCCAAAGCGGCTGTACCATTCTACAGGCATACCTCGTTTTACTGTGCTTCACAGGTACTGCATTTTTTACATATTGAAGGTTTGTGGCAACTCTGCATCGAGCAAGTCTATAGGCACCATTTTTCCAACAGCATGTGCTCACTTCACGTCTCTTTGTCACATTTTGGTAATTCTCGCAATATTTCAAACTTTTTCATTATTATTATATCTGTTATGGTGACATGTGATCAGTGATCTTTGATGTTACTATTGTAATTGTTTTGGGGCGCCATGAACCACATCCATGTAAGACAAAGAACTTAATCGATAAATATTGTGTGTGTTCAATTGCTCCACCAACCGCCATTCCCCATCTCTCTCCCTCTCCTTGGGCCTCCCTATTCCCTGAGACATGACAATATTGAAATTAGGCCAATTAATAGCCCTACAATGGCCTCTAAGTGTTCAAATAAAAGGAAGAGTTGCACGTCTCTCACTTTAAATCAAAAGCTAGAAACGATTAAGCTTAGTGAGGAAGACGTGGAAAGCTGAGACAGGCCAAAAGCTAGGCCTCTTGCGGCAGACAGCCAAGTTGTGAATGCAAAGGAAAAGTTTTTGAAGGAAATTAAAAGTGCCACTCCAGTGAACACACGAATGATAAGAAAGTGAAACAGCTTTACTTCTCATATGGAGGAAGTTTTAATGGTCTGGATAGAAGATCAAACCAACCGGAACATTTCCTTAAACCAAAGCCTAATCCAGAGGAAGGCCCTAACTCTCTTCAATTCTATGAAGGCTGACAGAGGTGAGGAAGCTGCGGAAGAAAGTCTAAAGCTAAGGAGGGTTGGTTCATGAGGTTTAAGGAAAGAAGCTATCTCCTTAAGTGCAAGGTGAAGCAGAAAGTGATAATGTAGAAGCTGCAGCAAGTTATCCAGAAGATCTAGCTAAGATAATTGATGAATGTGGCTACACTAAACAATAGATTTTCAATGTAGATGAAACAGCCTTATACTAGAAGAAGATGCCACCTAGGAATTTCATAGCTAGGGAGAAGTCAATGCCTGGCTTCAAAGCTTCAAAGGACACGCTGACTCTCTTGTTAGGGGCTAATGCAGCGGTGGCTTTAAGTTGAAGCCAATGCTCATTTACCATTCCAAAGATCCTAGGGCCCTTAAGAATTATACTATATCTACTCTGCCTGTGCTCTATAAATGGAACAACAAAGCCTGGATGACAGCACATCTGTTTACAACATGGTTTACTGAATATTTTAAGCCCATTGTTGAGACCTACTGCTCAGAAAAAAAGATTTCTTTCAAAATATTACTGCTCACTGACAATGCACCTGGTCACCCAAGAGCTCTGATGGAGATATACAAGGAGATGAATGTTGTTTTCATGCCTGCTAACACACATCCATTCTGCAGCCCATGGATCAAGGAGTAATTTTGACTTTCAAATCTTATTATTTAAGAAATACATTTAGTAAGGCTATAGCTGCCATAGATAGTGAATCCTCTGATGGATCTGGGCAAAGTAAATTGAAAACCTGGAAAGGATTCACCATTCTAGATGCCATTAAGAACATTCGTGATTCATAGGAGGAGATCAAAACATCAACAGGAGTTTGGAAGAAGTTGATTCCAACCCTCATGAATGACTTTGAGAGGTTCAAGACTTCAGTCGAGGAAGTAACTGTAGATGTGGTGGGAATAGCAAGAGAACTAGAATTAGAAGTAGAGCCTGAAGATGTGACTAAATTGCTGCAACCTTATGATAAAACTTAAACAAATGACGAGCTGCTTTTTATGGATAGACAAAGAAAGTAGCTTCTTGAGATGGAAACTACTCCTGGTGAAGATGCTGTGAACATTGTTGAAATGACAACAAAGGATTTAGAACACTACATAAACTTATAGTTGATAAAGCAGTGGCAGGGTTTGAGAGAACTGACTCCAGTTTTGAAAGAAGTACTATTGTGGGTAAAATGCTATCAAATGGCATCGCATGCTACAGAGAAATCATTTGTAAAAGGAAATAATCAATGTGGCAAACTTCACTGTTGTCTTATTTTAAGAAATTGCCAGAGCCACCCCAACCTTCAGCAACCACCATCCTAATCAGTCAGCAGCCATTAACATTGAGGCAAGACCCTCCACCAGCAAAAAGATTATGACTCGTTGAAGGCTCAGATGTTAGCATTTTTTATCAATAAAGTATTTTTTAATTAAAGTATATACATTTTTTTTTTAGACAATGCTATTGCACACTTAGCAGACTACAGGATAGCGTAAACATAACTTTTATACACACTGGGAAACCAAAAAATTTGTGTGACTCGCTTTATTGCGATATTTGCTTTACTGTGGTGGTCTGGAACCAAACTGGCAACGTCTCTCAGGTATGCTTATACATTCCCAATAGCAATGAATGAGATTTCCTGTTGTTCCACATTCTTGTCAGCATTTGGTGTTGTCAGTGTTTTTAATATTAGCCATTCTAACAGATGGTGGTACATAGGGCACCTAACAACAACAATAGATGTATGGAGTCTCTGGATGGTGCAAACAATTAACACATTCAGCTGCTAACCAAAAGGCTGGGGTTTGAGTCCACCCAGAGGTGTGTAAGAAGAAAGGCCTGGTGATTAACTTCTGGAAAATGAGCCACTGAAAATCTTATGGAGGACAGCTCTACTCTGACATACATGGGGTAACTATGAGCTGGAAATCAATCGACTCAAGGGCAACTGGCTAATAGATGTGTAGTGGTATCTCGTTGTTTGGCTGGCTTTTTTTTTTTTTTTTTGAGTTATACCTTCCCTTGTGTGTACTAGGCACAAAAGACCAATATTTCTTAAGCATCTGGCTGCTAACCAAAAGGTCGGCAGTTCAAAGCCACCAGCTGCTCCTTGGAACCCTATGAGGCAGTTCTACTCTGTCCTACAGGGTCGCTATGAGTCTGAATTCACTCAATGGCAACAGATTTTGTGGTTTTTATTCCCTATCTGTAGTTTAGGTATGGGGTAAAGGACCTAGCTTTACTCAAAGTAAGGTGGCATTTGTCCTTCGTTTATATGAAATAACCCTTGGAGTAACTGAGGTGTCTTGGTCTGGGATTTCAGGCCATATCAGATAATATGTGTTGATGAGTAGGGACTGGCCAGACCAGAAAAGACTCATCTGGGAGGCCAATGTCATCTAACCCCAGGAGGCATGACTGAGCCTATCACGTAGGACTGGCTGATAAACACTTGGAACCCTAAGGCTCAGAGAGCTTCCTGGTCTGTGAAGGGAGGGTGAGGTGCCCTTTCTGAGACACAGCAGCTGCACACCAGGAAACTTCCTTGCCTGTGCATCTGTTCCTTATGATGATTCTGATTTATATTCTTTTACTATAATAAAGTATAATATCTCCAGCGAGTTCTGTGAGTTGTTCTAGCAAATGAAGAAACTCAAGGATGGCGTCCTTTTAGTTTGTGAGTGCTGACCTAACTCCAGGTAGCCAGGGACTAAGAGAGAGTGCCATGTGGGCAGCTGGTGTCAGAAATGATGGAGAAGTGGGAAAGCGGGGATACACTTGATCTCTGCTTTATGGAAATCAGCTTTATGCTGATTATCATCCATGAAAGTTATCATTTTAGTACGCCTGCTCTTGAAAATTTTGTTGCTAATGCTACAGCAGTAATTTTTATCAGACTTGGGGATGATGTGGTCAGATCTTGGAATACCTTGGCTTTGGATCTACAAAGACTCTTTAGACATACCTGCATTTTTTTTTTTTATATAAGTGAACACTTCAAAGACAATGTGAGTGAACTACTCTAAATATTTTAAATCCCAAAGATTCATCTTGTATGCCAATAGCATCACTAGTCACTCACTTATTTACCAACATTAATTTTTTTCCTCTACTCTCCTATTTGCCAGGTCATTTTTATTCTCACATTCTATGTATCTAGGGTTACCAGTTCTGGAGGGTGTTCTTGCTCTCTATTAGCATTTTCAGAACCCTCTAGCAACACTCTCTAGCAAAAACTCTATTTTCATGAGTCCCAAACCATTCAACTATACCATCTCCTGACCTCTCACTTCTTGCCATTCACTGATGACTCTGGCACATGGTAAACAGTCTTACTTTCCATGCAGAGCCTTTGCCATCATACTGGAAAACCCAACATTCATGTAGATGGCCAATCCAACACCCTGCACTCTAAATCCTTTCTCATCTTGAATGACTTTCTGCACCATTCTGCCTCAACTACTATTTCCTCAGTTATACTCTAGACCTTGTCAACATGTATAATTACTTCTAAAATAAGTAATTCAATTTGCTTCCTGCTCTCAGACTACACTCTCCTATTCTTCCTGCTTATTTTTTCAACTACTCTCACCACTATCATTTTTCTACCTCACTGGGATCGTTAGTCAATTAATTTCTCTGCTTTCTTATCTCAGTTCATCAGCTTTCTACTTCCCACTCCTTATCCAGCTTAGATTTAATGGTTCATCATTTCAATAACTCTTCCGCCAATATTCTAAACTATACTCCCGTTGGTCTTTTTGTCTCAGTCATCATGCAATCCTCCTACCCCTTATCCACTTTCTCTCTGCTTCTCAACAGGAGAGAGGATTCGCACAATGTGTCAAGCATATTGTTCACAGTATAAAATTCATAATTACCAGTCTCTGGTGATTGACATTACCTATTAATGTCACCTTTTCCAGCTTAAACATCATTTCTTTAGGGAGGCCCTTTCCAAAAATCCCAGAGTGCATTAGTATCTCTTTCTATATGTTCTTATTGTACCTGGTACTCTTCTTTTTGAAATGCTTATCAGACTTGTAATCACTTGTTTCAAGTCTGTCTTCTTTGCTAGATTATAGGGCCTGTTTGCCTTATTTAACCCTCTATCTCCATCTCTTAGCACATAGTGATGCTCAGTAAATACTTGTTGAAGGTATGATGTGATTATCAACATTATCTTTCCTATCTGGCATCTACAGAATACAGATCCTTTTTTAAAGAGGAAATATATCTAAATTTCAGCACCTAATGAGAAATTTAACAATGAATCAACTATAATCCAGTATTAGCAAACATTCACTTGGAATGTTTGACATTTTAGTTTTGGAAAGAAAAGTTTGAATGACTGAACATACTAAGTATGTAGTACTATTAGATTTTCTAAATAATCACTGTATTGAGGTATTCCCCATTCCCTTTGCCGTCAAGTTGATTCCGACTCATAGCAACCCTATAGGACAGTAGAACTGCCCTATGGGGTTTCCAAGGCTGTAAATCTTTACGGAAGCAAACTGCCACACCTTGGAGCGGCTGGTGGGTTCAAACCACCCAACTTTCGGTTAGCAAGTTTACTTTAACTACTTTAACTACTGTGCCACCATGGCTCCTTATTAAAAGGTATAGATACATACATTAGTTTATTTCTTTCTCTTTAAAAACATGACTAAAAATGTTAAAATTCATTATATTTTTCTGTATCTCTATAAAAAGACCCCTATGAGAACTACCTCCTTTGATTAAACGCCAGGAAAATACTGGCTTCTCCAGATAAAGATATATCTTCCATTCTTTTATCAGAGAATGAAAATATAATTTTAATATTGTTCCTGGAATCTACTTGATGGCAACTTGTTTTGTTTTTGGTTTGCTTAAGCTTAAACTATTAGTTTCCTAATATTTTCCTCATCAGCTCTGAGTATGATATATGGTATTTGCTTAATAACTATGTTTAATATATGGTTTTAGTAGAAAATGGACAGGATTTTTAGTCATAAAGAGTCAAATTAAAATATCAATTCTGCTTTGTATTAATTCTGGATCTATTTCTTCTTTATAAAATGGGTTTTAAAAATATTTATTTCCCAGAGTTGTTGTGAGGTTTAAATGAGTCAGAGTGTAAAGCAATTAGGACTGTGACTGGCACAAAGTAGGTACTCAAAAAAGGTAAACATCATTATTTATATTAAAATATCTAATCTGTGTGATCCACCCAGGGTGCGTCGGAAGGTAGTCCTCATGATTTGCTTCCAAAAGGTCACAGCCTTGAAAACCCTATGGAGCAGTTCTACCCTGCATACGTGGAGTCACCCTGAGATAGAATCTACTCTATGGCCACTAAGAAGAACAATCACAACAATCTGTATGATACTTTCATTTTATGTGAAATACGTGAAAATTAAAGTTATCATGTAAAATGGCTAGATAAGAAGAAAATGAAATTTTTAGTGAGAGAAATAGTTTAAATGATAGGTTTTTATAGACAAATAATGCTAAAGTACCTATTTTTTAAGTAAGAGTCTTTGCATTTAGTTTCCCATCTACTAACGTGGCTTACGTCCATTCAATTCAAGACAAGTCTGAGTACCTTTTAAGTGCCAGGCACTGTTACGCCCTGGCGATACAGTGATGAATTAAAAAAAAAAAGAAGTCCCTTGTCTCACAGTCTAATCAAAGAAGACTTTGAAAATAAAATTCTAAACCAACTGTATATTTTCTTAATATTTATTCATTCCTTTGGAAAAATAAAACAGTTCCTTTCTGATTTTTTCCCCCAATCGTATTTCTAACTTACGGGACAACTGTTTTCTACTGGAAGGAAAATTTATGGGCTTCTAGTCCATTCCCTCAGCAGAAGAAAGTAGCTTCATGAGGAGTCAGCCAGCTACTAAGCGCAATGGCACTCTATAGAGAGTTAATTTTCAGAAAATTTAAAGCCATGATATCTTTTTCTCTCCACACGCTAACCAGCATGCATAACTGATAAAAGCAGAAGCTGCCACTCTTTTGGAAAGGGAATGGTAGGATCAGGCACATCTCTTATTGGCTTACAACCATTCAATTTAACAAACGTTTTAAAGAAAAATAATGGAATGTATTATAACCACATTTACCCACCTATTTAGAAATTTTAAACCATATTTTTTTCTGTGATTACCTTGACAGAAATTTTGACAATAATAGTGGGGCAACAGCAGAATAATAATATGGGACAAGAATCAGGCCCTGTTCCTTGTCTTCCCTCTTTTAAACTAATAAAAGTCTTATTTTCTTTAAAATAAGATATTTTCTTTAAAGCTTTAGCTACTAGACAGAATAAATTATAATGTTCAGGGAGGTAAATTATTTCTATAAGGTTAAGGTGCACATTGCTATAATTCTTTAAGGTGTACACTGCCATAATTACACATGAATTTTAAAAGTTGTATCTTTTATCTATAACATTTATTCTTACCAGCAGCCCTCTCATTTTGACCCAGAATGTTATTATGCCCTATTTTCCATATGGGAATGGATTCTTCTCCAGTAGTTTTAAGGGTCACATCATGATGGCTTTCTTCATAAACAGGGCATTTTTGGGTGCAATATAATGTCCTATCTTGCTGAGCAACCATTTGAGTGCCATTTGAGTGATTTATTTTCGCGAATGTTTGGCACTCGGACTTACAATAAGAAGGTAGAGACGGTATCACAGTGACTAAGTCAGAAGAAGCATCTGAGAGCGGAGGACTACTTTCTTGAGTCCCCTGATTGAAATGATATTCCATTGGAAGTACATATTTTGAATTAAAACAGTTGTGTGTAATGTTTTCAGAATTTTCAGGCATTATTGATTGACGAGACACTTTTATATTTTTACCACTCCTAATATTTGATGTGGATTTAGGAGGAGGAGGAGGTACAGTTAGTTTACCCTGAGTTTGTATGAATGTTTTGGCTTTGCTTGCAGAATGTGGTTTAATGATAGTGCCTTTTCTGTTCGTATATATAAAGCCTGATGAGGCTTTAGCAGATTTTGTTCTTCTAATTACATTTGTGCCATCGCTTTGTGGATTAGCTTTCTGAGTTACAGAATCACCATTATGTGCAAGGGATTTACTCTCCTCTTTTTTTGAGGCTAGCCAGGCTTGTTTAGCAAAGTTATAACCTGAAGGCACAAAAAAACAGTTCAAAGGCACATGGTCTCTTTCAGATCCTCCTACAGCAACATTTTCAGAGACAGAATCATCCTTGGGCTTTTTTCTGTCAGCAGAATTTACAGCAGAAGCAGGAACACTAATTATGTTGCTGGCAGCACCACTTTTAGTTAGGGTGTGAAATTGTTGAGACCATTGCTGAGCTATTCCTGTTCTATTTTTCAGCGAATAATTCTCTTCAGCATTGTTTTCTGTATTGCCACTTTCATCAAGCCACCTCAGTTTTTTAATAGTTCTTGGAACTTCTGCACCTCTCCCTTTTTCTTTTGTTAATTCAATACTATCTCTGATAGCTGCTGCTTTTTTATTTCCAAACTTACAGTCTTGATTCATAATCAGTGCCTTAAAATAATGATGGTCATATTTAGATTCTTTCTTTAAAATACTTTTAATAAACCTCACACCATTTCTCTCATGAATGTTGTACTTCATTTTCTTGTGATGACCAACTACGTCATAATTAGAAATTACATTAGACGATGTTTCAGCTATTTTCTGTGTTTTATCTTTTGAATCAGGGTTGTGAGGCATATCAACTTGAAGATCATCTGAAAATAGAGGCAATTCTTTCTTATTATCGTTAAAATATTGCATCTTTTCATCTTTAACATCTTTCAACTGATCTAACTTATCAGAACACTGCACTGGGTCAATTTCTTTTACGTGTATACCGTCCATCGGTAAAGGTCTAGCTGATTGTACATTAGGTGCCAAAACTAAAGGTGCTGCCACTGGTACAAATGAAGTATGAATTGAAGTAGCTGCATTTTGTTGAGTTAATTCAGAATAGTTCTCTTGGTCTAAAAATGTAGCAACTTCTCGGGTTAGAGAATCTGGCGTGGTCCAGGCTTTACTGAATTTAAATGTTGGGCTTTCAGTAACAAATGGTCTCTCCATTTTGAACGCCTCAGAAGAGGAGTCAGTTGTTCCAACAGTGCTAGTTGCAGAAGTTTTTTCGTTTTTCTTATTTTGTGCAAATATGCGTGGACTATGTACAAAGGCTACCGAATTATTAGCAGTATTTGTAGTTCTTTCCACAGTTCTACTCAGAATAGGTGAATTTTGTTCTCTACTATTAAGACGTTCACATGAAGGCAGAACATTAGGTTTACTTAAAATATCTGAGAATGGTGCGACAGTCTGAGTATCTGGATCATCTAAATTTATAAGCCAATTATTTATGTGTTGAGTTTTAGAGAATGATAGTTTATCTTCATCAAAGAAGTTTAGATTAGTTGACTGCAGATTTGCTGATTTGAGGTGAATGGAATTCTGCTGGATTGATGTAGAATGGTCCTTATTTAGTGTTAAATATATTTCTTCACGCTCCCCAGCTTCAAGACTGTCTATACTTGAAAGAGTTTCAGAATTGGTTATCCGATTAACTTCATCACAAAATTTCTGGAAAAAAAAAAAAAAAAAAAGAATACTGTTTTATAGCTTAGATATTTTTAAATGCCAAAATTAATGGTTCAACATACCATGTCACTGAGCCCAATTCTCCTTGGTATATAAAACACAGTAATATGACTATAAACTTGTAGAGTCTTTTCACTTAGGACAATAAGCATGTAAATAATCTATATCCCTAGAGCAGTGCTCAGGATGAAAAACGGGCAGTTAGCAGACTTAAATGTGTCTGCAGTAATTTCAACTCCTGAAGTACCCAATTATTCTAACCACAGCTATAGTTTAGAAAATAACTTTATTATTGCTATTCCATTTACAGTATGGAATTTCTTGAAAGTCTCTTAAGAGTAAGTCAAATTCTGAAAAATAGTTATTTACAAATTGTATTTTTTTTCCTGAAACCTTCACTGGTCTTGATTTAGGGCTCCTAAAATCTCTGTAACCCTAATGTGAGCTTCCTCTGGATTGGGAATACATCTTTTTATAAAAGTTAAACTCATTGTCTATAGTAGAGGGTCTCAACTGTGACTGTATATTAGAATCACATAAGGAACTTTGTAAAAATATCAGTGCTTGGATCCCACTGACTTAATTCTTCTTAGATGGGATCCGGGTGTTGGTATTATTATTATTTTTCAATTCCCCAGGTGATTCTAGTGTGGCTTTAAGGGTTGATAACTAGATTTAGGGTTGATTACTATTGATTTTAATGTCTGCTTTTTGGAGATTTAGCAGAGTAATAATTTCCACAAATTCTACAGGCATTCTCATTACTATTTCACTGATATTTCCATGGAACTTATCAGTCTTTAATGAAATTTCATGATCACTTCAAAATATGATAAATACTTTAAAATATTTCAATTTTCTCACACATACCTAGAATGTATTACTCTGTAAGACATATATAAAAATAAATTTCAAGAAGATTTAAATTATAAGTCTAGTCAGAAAGTTGAATGGACTTGAAGAAAGTTAGTGGCTCTTAAGATTTATCACAAATTTTAGAAAATTTAAATATTCTAGTATTAAACAAAAATATTCTCCTAGCCCAGAAAGTGAACCAAGAAGGTAAGAAAATAAGTTACTGAATAAAAATAGTTTGCACAGCTAATGCTTATTGACATATTACTATGAAATAAGTTCTGAAAATGACTCATGAGAGTTTGATAATACTAGCATTTATTCCCTGCTTATCACATCCTTTGTCACTGTGCTCTCTTCTTAAAGTGATGGTCTCTCAACCCAATCAAGACAACAAAATGAAGCTCAGCTACTTCAATGCTTGTTCTTGGAACTGAGATGTTTACATCAATAATATTAAATAAACCAGGCCTCAGATGTAGCAATTTTGGTTAAAAGGTCCTTCTAGATATAAGTTGGTGCAGGACCAGGCAACATTTTGTTCTGTTATACATAAGGTCGCCATAAGTCAGAGCTGACTCAATGGCAACTAACAACAGATGTAAGTAATGATATCCATGGCTCTAAAATTTTTGTTTGCATAGGCTCTATAATGGCCTCATCTCCCAAAGTACCCCAAAAAGAGCTCAGCTACTTCTAATTTCACTATACTATTTTTTTCAGAATTTTTCCCACTAGTAAATATGAAATATTACATGATCTGCTTCAAGTTTTACTCTAAGCTACTGATATAAACTGTACTAAACTGAACATGCTTTGTTTTGTCATTTTTTAGTTTTTAAATAAACTTTACTGAGATGTATTTTATACACAATAAAATGCACCCATTTTAAGTATATAGTTCATCGAGTTTTCACAAATTATTTGCTCATAACCACTATTAAAAACACACACACACACACACACACACACAACCTGTTGCTGCTTAGTTGATTCTGACTCATAGTGACCCGACAGGACAGAGTAGAACTGCCCCATAGGGTTTCCAAGGAGCAGCTAGTGGATTTGAACTGCCGTCCTTTTGGTTAGCAGCCAAGCTCTTAACCACTGTACCACCAGGGCTTCCATAATTACTATATAAAACAATACATAGAAGCTTTCCATCTGCCAAAAGTTCTTTTATGCCTCTTTGTAGTCAATCTCTACCCACCACTAAAAACCACTAACCTGCTGTCACTATAGATTAGTTTTGATGGTTCATAATCTTAGAGATAAACTGCTCAATATTTTACTATTAGGTATGATGTTAGCTATAGGCTTTTTGCAGCTGAACTTCAATTCTTAGTTGGCTGAGCATTTTAAAACATGAATGTACACTGAGTATTGGTAATGCTTTTCCTGCATCTACTGAGATAATTGTGATTTTTCTCTTTTGTTCTGTTAATATGGTTAATTATATTGATTATATTTCAAATGTTAAACCAACCCTGCATTCCTGAGATAAATCCCATGTGGTCATGATGTATTAACCTTTTTATATATAACTGGATTCCATTTGCTAATACTTTGTTAAGGATTTTTCCATTTTATTGTGTGAAGGATATTGGTTTGTATGTAATTTTCTTTACTGATTAATTCTTTGTTGTTGATATCAGGGTAATGCTGGTCTCATAAAATGAGCTGTAAGTATTTTCTTCTCCTCTGTTATTTGAAAAAGTTTGTGTAAGATTGGTATTATTTCTTTCTAAATGGTTGATAGAATTCTACAGTGATGCCATCTTATCCTAAGATTTTTCTTTGTAAAAAGGTTTTAAATGACAAATTCAATTTATTTAATACCTATGGGTTATTCAGAATTTTTATTTCTTCTAGAGTGAAATTTGGTAGTTTGCATCTTTCAAGGAATTTGTCTACTTCAGTTAAGTTGTCCAATTTACTGCCATAGTTTTTTTCATAATATTCTCTTATTATCCTTCTAATATCTGTAGGAACAACAGTGTTATTCTCTTTTTTATTCCTTACATTGGTAGTGTGTCTTTTTTCTTATTGGCCTAGCTAGATGTTTATCAATTAATCATTTTCAAAGAACTAGCTTTTGATTTTATTGATTTTTTTCCCAACTGTTTGTCCTTTATTCCATTTCATGATGTTTTGTACTCGTGATTTTTTTTTAGTTCCTTCCTTCTACTTGTGTTTAACTGGCTCATTTCTAATTTCTTAATGGGGAGCCTCATATTATTAATATTTATTTTTTTTCTTTTCAAATAAACATACTTCCCACAAATGTTGATAGTTTATATTTTCTTTATAATTTGATTTAAGATATTTTTCAAATTCCCTTGTCATTTCCTTTTTGATCCATGGCTTTGTAAGTGTGTTGTTTTTTAATTTCCAAATATTTGGTGATTTTTTAAGGTATTGTTCTGTTAATAATTTCTAATGTAACTCTGTTACCATCAGAGGACATACTCTGATTTCAATGATTTTAAATTTATTGATTCTTATTTTATGCTCTAGCATATGATTTTTCTTGGTGAATGTTCTTTGTGAATTTAAAAAGAATGAGTATTCTGTAGTTTTGAGGAATTGTTCCACAAATTTCAATTTGGTCTAGCTGGATAATTTTCAATTTTGTAGAGTTGTATAAATCTTGTTTATCGTTATTTAATACATCAACTAACTGACAGAATAGTGTGAAATTTCCAACCATCATTGTAGATTTGTCTATTTCTCCTTTCAGTGCTGTTAGTTTTTGCTTCATGTATTTTGAAGCTCTGTTAACAGGTTCATATATATTTAAAATTTTTATATCTTCTTGATCCTTTTATCATTAAGAAATGCCAATTTTTATGTGAATGTAATGTGCTATTTTTCCCTCTGGCTTAATTTGAATTTGATGAATATTGGTATTTTATGTGTGTGCGTGTATGTGTGTATGTGTGCACTTGCTTGGAGTTTGTTGAGCTTCTTAAATCTGTGGATTTATAGTTTTCATCAAATGTGAAACATTTTCATATTCTCTGAATACTTCCTCTCTCCCTTTGTGATCTTTTAATTAAATATATGTTAGACTATTTGATATTGTCTCGCTCGTCACTAAGGCTCCGTTCACTTTTTTTTCCAGTCTTTTTTCTCCCAATGCTTCAGTACGGTAATTTCTATTGCTATGTCTTCAAGTCCACTGATCTTTTCTTTTTCAATGACTGTACTATTAAGCCTATTCAGTAAAATTTCATTTCAGATATTAAATTTTCCAGATCTGGAAGGTCCCTTTGGTTCTTTTTTATATTTTTCCTCATTATGTTTATTTTTCCTTTAATTCCTTGAAAATATTTATAAAAACGGTTTTAAATTCTTTGTCTGTTAATTCCATCATCTCTGTCATTCCTGTGTCTGATTCTATTGGCTAATATTTCTCCTGATTATAGGTCATATTTTCTTGCTTCTTTACATGTCTACTAAGTTTTGATTGGATGTTGGACATTGTGAACATTTTGTTCTTGAGTGTCTGAGTTTTGTGGTTTCCTTTAAGACAGTGCTTTTTTTTTTTTGATAGGCAATTGGATTATTTGTGAATTCTTTTGTCCAGAAAGTACCTCCAGGTAGAAAGCCTAAGTGATCACAGAACTCATCTCACTAGTTTCTCTTTCTTCAAGGTCACATCCTGTACTGCTTGTTGTCTAATGTATAGTTATTTCATTTATTGTTGTTTATGGTAGGAAGGCACTTCATCACTGTCAGCAGAAGTCTCTTGCTTTGCTTTCTTAGCCTTGCCACTACTGCTTAGGTTGTCTGAATCAGGCCAAGGTTATGAATTTAATCTTGATATTGGCCTATTAAGACTCTCATAAATGTGTGTGATTATTCATGAAAAATAAATGCATGAGCATGTAGCTGAATCAGCTGGAATCCATATTCATTTTTGGGAAAATAACAAAGTAAATGTCCTAGTAGGGACAGACTAGAAACACTATCTCTAGCTAATTGTGCCATATCTCCATAAAGAATCTAATATTAACATGTATTATAATATCCAGGCTGTTCTTAAAATCCAGTTTTGAACAAAGATGTTTACATTACATTGTATTTTCAGATAGATTTCATCTTTTTTAGAAAATGACATTCATAAAGCCTATTTTTCTGAATAGAAGAGAGATAGAAAAAGAAAAATAGAGGAGAGGCAAAAATGGATAAAAGGTAAGGAAAAATAAATTATTTTTCCAGTATCTGTGATGAATTTGTGCTGATTCATCCACATTCTCTTTCCTAGTCTCAGTTAATAACACATTTCCTTAGTGGAGAATACTACAAAAATGAGACAGAATAATTACAAAAAATTAAAATATTAGTAACACATTTATCATTTCATACTTGCAAACTGCTTAAATGTTGCTCTTCTAGGAGTTTCTGAGTTTCCTCCAGTTTAAGCTGGAATGCATCTTTGTTAGTGGCCAAGTTTGCCCTGCTGTTTTCCTTCATTTCTTTATTGCAACTGACTTTGGATAAGAGATGTATCTGATGCTTGTGATCATTGTTTGACAATGCTGAAGGCAAGGCAGAATCTATAGCTCTGTGAACCAGAAATAAAATACATTTAGTACATTTAAATAACAGTGACTTCTTTATATAAGTATATAAATGGCACATGTGTTATATGTGTCAGTGTGTGTCTGTGCCCAGATAATCACATATAAGGATATTGGAGAAATGTATAAACATACTAGAATGGAAATTTAATGCAGTCAATAGTAGAAAAAAATGGTTGTGGGACTATAGTGACAATAAAGAACTCCACCTTCACGTAGGAATGCCCAATTATTCATGGTTTTGATTATTAAATCCTATTTACCTATCATTTGGGATGGGGTAGAAGTTATTCCAATAGGTGTGTGGAGTCAGTCTTCCGTTTTTTATGAGCATTCCTATCTGGATAATAATACGCTGTATTACTCTTAATTCTGAGTGGATGTCATGGCTGTCAAGTATTCCTATAACCCTAAGTTGGTTAAAGTTTCAAGCAAATGGAAAATATGAAAATTGCTTATAAGGGTAGGCAGGATTTTCCATTCTACTTAACTAGGTTTGGAAACTTTGATCTTACTCCATGCAGGAGAGTGTACATATTTGTTTTCAGCTGTTTCAGGAATATAATCATGGTTTTCATGTTATTGAACAGATATCTTTAATACAGAGTCTACTTTTAATGTGTGCAAGTGTCTTCCCAAAATGTATCAGTGCATGACATCATTATCTGTTAGACTTTTGTATCTTCTGGAAACATACGATATAACAAATTTCAGCACATGTGTAGGCTTCAAAGCAAAAAGCGAAGAACAAAGGAAGACTTTTTGGCGGGGTGGGATGGGGATGAGGTGTATCATATAGCTAACTGCCTCCTGTAACAGGCCCATTATTGTAAGTCCCAAGGAACTTTATTCCCAATTCAATGAGGATGAACATCTTTTGAAGGTGACACATGGCCACATGTGACATGTACCTATCTCCAATACCCATATATATCTTTATATGGACAGACTAGAATAGTTAAGGTCAATAATTACTAGATTCCTGACTATCACTTTGTGACCACAAGGAGATTATGGAAAGCAAGAAGGTATTTAACACAAGCTCCTGAACATTGAGAGTATGTTTCTATTTCTTCCTTTACTACTTTACTTTACTACTCTTACATATTACTCAATCACCCTTCCCAAACAAAATATTGCTAAATCTACAAAATATCTAATAAACTCGATTTATTTACCTTTAAAGTTGTCGTCTCTCAACTTTTTCTTCTCTATTCCTTTCTTCTCTACTCCACTTTCTTCTCTTCTCTTCTCTACTTTCTTCCCCCAGTGAGGAGGATTGAAGGGATGGATAGGAATAGAAGATGGGGAGGTAGAAATAGAAGGAGAGTGAAGCATGGGGGGAAAGGAAGAGGAAATCATAAAGGAAGAAGAAACAGGAGAAATTGGAGAGGGAAAATCTAAATAAGTTGGAGGCAAACACGGAGAAGGAGAATGCACAGGAGAGGAAAGAACAGGGATAGACGAAGGAGGTAAGGATGGAGAGGTAGAAGAGGAAGATGAGGGAGAGGAAAGAATGGACGACGAAGAAAACAGTATAGATGGTGAAGAAGAAGATGCGGAAGTGGAAGGAGAGGACACAGAAGAGGATGGAGAATGACAGTGAGGTGAGTGGGAAAGGACTGAAGCAGGCGGATGGTCTACAAGCGCCTGGGGTAGATTTGACAGTGTTGTGCCTTGTGGAATAGATTGCTGGACTGACTGGAAGGGATCCAAGCTAGCAGAAGGATGTTCATGCCACGGAGTGATATAAGAAAGAGTAGGGACTGGTTGATGAGGCGGATGACTGGATAAACAGGAAGGTTTCAAAACAGGGAGAACTTCCAAAGGGGTTGGGGAAAGAACCAGCTGAGCTGGAAGGGAATGACGAACAAGGGCAGGCATTAGAGTGGCTGGGGTAGAACACTGGGCTGAAAGGAAATGTTTGGGTCTGAAAGTTTTGTAAAATAACTTGTTCTGTGAGTCAAGATCAGGAATGACTGGAGAACTCTGGGGTGGGGGAGGTAGGTGGTCAGGTGGGCCAGAAGGAATTGGGTCTGGTAGACGAGGAAAACTGCTAGAAAAGCTGGAAGTTACTGGGGCTGGAGGATGAGGAAGGTACTTGATCGGATAGGACAGTAATGGGGCTGGTAAAAAGGTCTTTGGAAGAGTAGAGGGGACAGATGGATGGATAGGCAGGGTATGTTGCTGACGGGTGGGAGAAACAGTTGGGTAGCTAGGAAGAATTTGGGAATGGTGGGATAGCAATGGAGCTCGTGAAGGAGAAAGCTGATCAGGTAAGTAGGGATCAGATGTGGAGACAGCTGGACAGGCAGGAATGGATCTGCACAGGTGGAAAAGCATTTGGACAGGCAGGTAGAGAGAGAGCCTTATTAAGATGTTTGTTTGTTTGTTTTTTGGCTTATTGGGCTGCCTTTAGACTTTTCATTCACGTTATTTTCTGTCCTTAGGATCCACGCATGATCCTCCTCTGATCAACCAGTGTCCTCTCACATGGGCTGAGAAATGTACATAGCTTATTCAAGTTCTCCTTTTCTCATTCATTACACTTAGAATATTTTCACCTCTCAGAAAGTTTGTTAGTCATAAAGATATATGAATATGGGCTGGAAAATGTGGTTTAAAGCACTTATACAAAGGGCAAATAGAGGTCAAACAGACCACTGCTAAGCTCTAGCCGGATTTCTCAGGGTAGCATGTGGCTCAGGATCAACTGTCTGACAAAAAATACATGGATATTGGAGATAGATATCTAACAACATCATTTTAGAGTTTAAGAATTTAATATGGGAGAGACTATAGCCTCTTCCATCCTGCAGCTACCAGAAGGGTCAAGTGTATCACCTTTGTGATTGGGGTTTGGTTGTGATAGAAGGCTAATTACTTCTTATGATTTTACTTTTAGTCCCTTATTAATATTCTTATAATCTCACTATTTCCTGAGGCAATTTCTACTCTCATAAAGACATATTCTCTGATTTTTCTTGAGACTTAAGCATTGAATGGCCTCCACTTTTTTATTCAATATTCCCTCCTTTAGATTACTGTATTACCACCATCTTGAATTATTTTTATCCACCACTAATATTTTCTACATTAGAGTAATCTTTTGTGAGTAGTTATATACCTCCATTTTCCTGGAAACTTGCTGTTTCTTGGCATTACTTTATTTCTTAACATGTCTTAGGTTTTTATTCCATTGCAAATGTATTTTTAATGTGATAATAGCTTATCATTATTTGTAGCTTAATTATATTTGCAAAAAATAATACACATAAATTGTTCCATCAATCTAACACCTGATACTTAATATTCCTATAGCTCATATTTGTTTAGCATTTTATAGTTTACAAAGCACTTTCACATACATTATGTGATACTGTTATCTGTGGAGAGTAGTTCAGCTTTTTAAATAAGTAAACCAGTGTTCTCTCTACAAATTGTATAAATGTTATTTTCCCAATATATAAAACTTATATATGTATATATATAAATATATACATGTATATATATAAATATATACATGTATGTATATATATATAGATAGATAAAGTCATAGTCATAATAGCATATTACAACAATAACATGAGAACTGTGTTCTAATACAGAATTAAGACCATTTCTTATCAAACAAAAATGATATATCTTATCTAACAATCCTAGCACAGATTTTCTATAACTATATGTGTTGTTTGCTATTAGGAAATCAAAGTTGTTCTGACATTGTCTCCCCTAAGACTTTGTGACTGTACATTTCTGAATATGAAAAGTGATGTTTTCACTCATAGAACAGAAGCATTTTATTGTTGAAAATATCTGATAACACAAAGAATAACAACTGATAACAGAAAAAGAAAGCTGAGTGTGAAGAAAACCTGTATACAAAAATGTACATTACTGCCATACTAAAATGGTTTGGATTTTTTTTTTTTAATTGGCCTAAATTTCTCCTGGACCTGAAGATTCCCTCTAATTGTCTGTCCTCTTCCCTTTTATTTCAGTCTTTTCCACAGAGTACTCTAAAATTACATTGCCTTCACTGCCCCAACTTCTATTTGTTCCTTAGCCCACTGTTACCTGGCTTCCACATCTACCACTTTAGTATACTGCTTTTGCTAATGATTAACTAACTGACTTAAAAATTACAAAATTAGATACTTCTTGACCATCCTTTCCTGATTTATTTCCCTTGGTTTCCACATCATCCACCTTGCTATCCTACCATTCCCAAATTCTTCCAAGCTACCTAACTGCTTCTTCCACCTGCCATCACCATACCCTGCCTATTTGTCCATCTGTCTCCTCTACTCTTCCAAAGATGTAGTGATTTTCCTACTCCTCTGGTTGTTCCTTCTTAGGCTCTTTCATGAGCTCCTTTTTCTTTGTCCTTTATATGCCAGAATTTTTTTTTAAATTTTATTTTGCTTTAGGTGAAAGTTTACAGCTCAAGTTAGTTTCTCACTCAAAAAACTTATACATATATTGTTTTGTGACATCAGTTACAATCTATATAATGTGACAGCACTGTCTCCCCTTCTAGCCTAGATTCCCTGTGTTCATTTGTCCTATTTTCCTGTCCCTTCCTGCCTTCTCATCTTGCTTTTGGGCAGGAGCTGCCCATTTGGTGGCGTATATTTGATTGAACTAAGAAGTATGTAACTCACATGTGTCATTGTTTGTTTTACAGGCCTGTCTAATCTTTGTCTGGAAAGTGGACTTAGGGAGTGGCTTTAGTTCTAAGTTAGCAGGGTGTCTGGGGGCCATAGTCTTGGGAGTTCCTCCAGTCTCTGTCAGACCAGTAGGTCTGGTCTTTTTTTGTGAATTTGAATTTTGTTCTACAATTTTCTCCCGCTTTGTCCAGGACTGTCTATTGTGATCCTTGTCAGAGTGATTGGTGGTGGTGGTAGTCGGGTACCATCTAGTTCTCCTGGGCTCAGGCTGGTGGAGGCTGTGGTTCATGTGGAGTATATGCCAAAATTTTTGA